TTTCCCTGGTTGGGATGAGTTCCAAAACCCCACTGGGGAGATGCAGAGCAACAGATAGCACTTAAAGCTCCTGTCATCTGGCACTGCAGGGTGAGTGTTAAGCAAGCAACTGGGACACTAACGTAATGAACAGCTGCTGAGCTCTGTGGAGAAGTAATACAGCTCTCTGGAGCACCACTGGAAATAGCCAAATAATTGGCTGCAAATAATGCTGCCCAAATAGAGGCCTGTTTTTTTGGTAGAAATGGGGAAAATTACTTTCCATTATTCAATTAGCTCCTGGCAAGCTGGTTTTGATAGTCTTTTTGACTTAAACAAATGTGCTTGCTGGTACCTTATGAACCACTAAGCTGTGGTGACAGAAGAGCTATGAGCCTCCTTCTTCTAGGGCCACCAGGCAGAGCTGTGAATACATGAAGATATCTGATATATCTCTAAAGTTCTGGCTAGAGATGTATTTATTGTCCCTTTATTAGGATAATATCCTGTGAGAACATTTTTGAAATAAAGATGTTAGAAAGCCCTTAGTGTTATTTATTTTTGAGCTCTGGTCTGCAGAGGTGTGACTGATGTTCCAAAAATTTTCTCAAAGTACCAAAATTTGGAGGAGGGCAGCAGAAACCCAGATAGCAATTGAGATGGCAGTGCTGCAAATAACATATACAGCCATTTGATAATACAGAAATCCTTGCTACCGTGTTCTCCAGGAAAATAAAATGCTTGGTTTACAATTGAAATCTTGCTTGCACCTTTCCACAAAGGAAAAATATGCTCCTAAATGGGAAATAAATATATTTTTGCCTTGAAGAGCCTTCTACATCCTTTTCTCTTCATGTGGTGTGGTAGCAACGGCAGTGGGTTGCTGTGCTCAGTGGTTTGCAAGTTCCTGAATTCCCCTTCCTGTGCAAAGGGAGGAGATGGCGCTTGGGGCTGGGAGAGTACACCAGCATCTCCAGATGATGTGGGTGAAAGGTGCCAAGAAAGCAGCTGTGCCGTTGTGTCCTCTTAAAATCCAACTCGGGTTAGAGGGTCCTGAGGCAGTTTTTGTCATAACTGGCAGCAGGCTTCAGGAAACCCCAGAGCACCTGATGTTTGTTGGGCTGCTGTGTGCCAGCCGCCAGCCCACTCTTCCCAGGAGGGCGATGTGGAAAGGAGCTGCCAGGGAACAGCTGCTGGAGGCATCCAAGGCAGCTCCTGGTCACTCCATATGGCCTGAAGGACCTTGGGCTCCTGCCTGCTACTAATGGATTAGGGATCTCCAAGGGATGGAGATTATACCAAATTATTGATCAACCTGAGCTACTGAGAGATGCACCAGCAAGTGGTTCGAATACTTTGTGTGGTCCCATGATACCGCAAACAAGTGGACATGAACTGCCCCAGGCGCTCTGTTCTGGCCTCATTGCTTCATCAAAACTGATGGTTAGATTTGACAGGTTTCATCAGACTCAGAATTAGGCTAACACATGGTCTCTCTGAAATAGCCCACCTGGCTTAAAGCTGCTGCTTGCTCCTCTGTAGTGCCCTCAGAATCAACATTTTTGGGGAGATCTGCAGAAAGGGTTTAGCTTTGACCTGCTATCTCAATCTCATAATTACGCTGGCATTTTCATATTCTTCAGGCAGATAACTTGACTAGTAATTAAATAATGAAAACAGACTATTCTTTTACAAATGGTGCACCCTCAGGTCTTGTAGTGCATAATTGGATTAGCAAATTGGCGGCTTGCCTGCCTGCAGCAGGATTGCCAACCTGAGAGATGAACTGCCAGGGTGCTCTGCCAAAGCCAGAGGAGAGGAAAGGGAAAACTGGGTGTGTGAGCACCTGTGGCACTGCTGGGCTAATAAACCTGCCAGAGGTTTGTTGTTAGTTGTCTTTGTAAAATGAGGCAGTGGAGGGTAAGATTGTATTTCTGTTACTGAGGCTCTGCATCAGCATTTTCACCTTAAGATTGCTAACTCTTTCAGAACATACTTATTTCCCAATTATTTCAGGATGATTTTTAAATTTTTTTTCACTTTGCAAAAGCAAATAGCTAGTCTTAGGCACAGTTTTAGCTGGATTTCAAAATTGATTCCCTTTATAAGCCCTATCCCTCTGAACTCTGGGTTTGGTAATCGGGATTTAAAGGGAATTCTTAGAGCACTGTTGTCTTTACAGTGAAGATT